CTTCCCCATGATCTGGCTCTGAGTTTACCTAGCCAACACATTCACTAATTCCTACCATCCACTTCAGTCAAGCCATTCTCTTCACACCACCCAGCTGTCTGTCTCCTATCTCCACCATCTCCTTATTCATGTTGCTAACCCTTTCCTTTGTTCAGCCACATCCTCCCCATCTTCAAGGCCAGCTCAAGAACCATTTCCATATGGAAGAAACTCTCTCTCATCCATAGTTTTCCTATTCTCCTAATCATCCTCAGTGACTTCCCTGGCCTTGAACACCAACAGCAATATAAAAGGCTCTTCCGGGGCGCCTGGGTGGCTCAGTTGGTTAAGCGACTGCCTTCAGCTCAGGTCATGATCCTGGAGTCCCAGGATCAAGTCCCTCATCGGGCTCCCTGCTCAGCAGGGAGTCTGCTTCTCCCTCTGACCCTCCCCCATCTCATGCTCTCTATCTCATTCTCTCTCTCAAATAAATAAAATCTTTAAAAAATAATAAATAAATAAATAAATAAATAAATAAATAAATAAATAAATAAATAAAATGCTCTTCCCCGTTACAGCTTACTTACCCACAGCAGTGTGTGGATTCTTGCTTTCCATTTGCTAGTCTTTTGTAGGCTCCTTCTCTTAATCTTATTTACTAAGCAAGTACTAATAGTCTTTTAAGTACCCAGCAAATACTATTATTGTTGATTAGTGAATAATAATTAACAATAGTTGCTATTTATGTAGCCCACGCATTCCACAGTGCTTTCACACATGTAATTACGGGATCATTGTTTACCGGTCTCTTAAATCCCCACAACAAACTTATTAATGAAATGTTAGCTCCATTTTAATGAAAAAGAACCTGAGGTGTCAAAGAATCAAGCGGCCCATGCGAGTTCATATGCTAATTAATAAATTAATAATTACTATATTTAATAACAAAATAACAATTAAAATCAATCTCCCCCGTAACACCCTGAAGATTTATCTCAGCTGATCAACATCTGAAGCGGCAACTTTGTGTATTAAAAAAAAGTTTCCTAATACATGTCCAACTGAGAATAAACCTAGGAAAAAGACTTTTTATATAGAAAATGACACATTTATTTTGTTATTTAATAAATGTTTTGTCCCACACAACCTGATTCTATTTAGCCAAGTTGTTTCACAAAACTATTTTCAACTTTATTTTTTTAAAGACTTTATTTATTTATTTATTTGAAAGAGAGAGATTGAGCACAAGCAGGGAGAGAGACAGAGAGAGAAGCAGAAGCAGACTCCCTGCTGAGCAGAGAGCACAATGTGGGGCTCCATCCCAGGACTCTGGGATCATGACCTGAGCCGAAGGCAGACACTTAACCGACTGAGCCACCCAGGCACCCCTATTTTCAACTTTAAAATGTTAACAAGTAATATATACTTGTCATAGAAAAATAAGAAAATAAGTCGGGGGGAGGTCTATAATCCCATTATCTAAAGTCAACAACTACTAACATATCTTTTCACACATTTGTTTATGATTATATGTGGACCCCCTTTCTTTGAATAGAAAATGGAATTTTTGTATAGATAGACAGCTTTGCTTATAGGCTTTTTAACTTAATGGGGGGGAGGAATGAATATATTTGCATGTCAAATACATCTATGTTCCCATGAATAACTGCATGACTTGTAAGCTAATCCCCTATTTTTGTATGTTTAAGTTGGGTCACATTTTTTCTATCATAAAACTGTGATGAACATTTCTCTATCTTTATGCACTTGTCGAATTATTGCCTTAGGATGAATTCCTGGAAGTAGGACTTAGAGGTCAATGGTAAGAAACTATTTTTGAAAATTTTTTGTCATGAAATAGAGGTGATAAATCAGATTTAGGGGCATGCTAAGTTTTCAGTACTCTGTCGTACTAAAAAAATTTTTTAACCAGATAAAACTCTGTTTTTTGAATATGTCCGAAGAATTTAAATAGATCGTTTCAACATCCCAACCCCTTCAAACTATAAAAACATAAAAATGAAAAGCACAATAATCTAACATTGATTTGGAAGAAAGACATAGCCTAATTCAATAACTTTTATTATTTCTTTAATCAAATGAGAAAAGCAGAAAAAAAAGCGGAACCCACATTTGTAAAAATGATCTCCTCCAATTTTTAAAAGCTTTTTATTTTTCTGATTTAAAAAATACATATTCGTTATAGAAAATTTGGAAAATACAGAGAATGAAGAAAATACGAATTTCCCAGAATCCAACAATACATCAGATAGCCTTACAGTTTTACTACTTTCTCCACATGTGTACTTGTTAACAATTTGCCATTTTCCTTCTCTTCCCAACCCAACCCCCACCTCCCCAGAGAGGAGGGGAAGGCAGGTCCTTGAGGGCCACGGCCGCTGACATCCTGGTGACATCCGCCACACCATTTCATCCTCACTGCAGGCTTCCCTCCTTGCTGAGCTGTGGCCTGTTTCCCTTCTTACTTCCCAGACTGCTACACAAATGCACAAGCCCCCCACCCCCCGAAAGCAGGGCTAAGGCTCCTCTGCCCCAGAACTCCTAATCGGAGAACTGACCAAGTCAACTTCCAGCTACTTGCGGCATTTCAGAGCCAGGCTTCTCCCCCGTAACACCCTGAAGATTTATCTCAGCTGATCAACATCTGAAGCGGCAACTAATACCTCATAAAATGTATACAGCACTTTTAAAGTTTAGCAAGTACTCTCACACACATTGTAACCTTTGTGAGTGTCTTCTGAAGTGGACAGAGCAGATATCCCTGTGTAGCAGAAAATGAAACCAAGGTGCAGAGGAGCTGAGTAAAGGTCATAGATAGTGAGTGGCAGAGCTTGGATTTGAAGCTGTAAATTGACTCCAAGGTCAGAGCTCTTTACCTAGCCATTATTAACAAGCCGTTCTTAAGACTGACAACTAGAAATTGAGAGCCAGAAGGATCTTCAATAAATTACCTAATCTAATCGCTTCTTAGTATTCACGTATAAGGAAAATAAGTCCCAGAGAAGCTAGGTGATTGCCGAAAGTCACCAGCTTTCATGATGAGGAGGATCTAAAGGCACAGTCTTCGGACTCCCAGGCCAGTGCTCACGCCAGTCGTCCCTAGAGAGATGTTCTTTAATAAGCTGGTCTCTCATCCGGTGTCTTCTGGTTAGCCAAATGTCAACCAGGAATTAAAATCCTAAAAGTGTAGAATGTTAGAGCCAGAAGGGACCTTAAAGACCACCCCGGCCAACCCACTCACTTTACAGATGTGGAATCTAAGGTCCAAATCCCACGGCTTTTGAAGTTCAGTCCTATGCACTTCCCTTCCACTTATCCTATCACTTCCCTTCTGAGTGGTTAAAAACAAAATCTGGCCAAAGATTTTACTTCCTTCTTTGACACTCAGCGCGCCACAGGCCACAGATTAGCAAAATCAAAGTGAAACTAAACGGGATTTGAATTCAAAAGATACTTAGTTTGTAACAGATGTACCCACCATGACTGTTACCAAAAAATACCCAAGTTCTGCTGGGTTCTAGACAGGCTCCCCCACTCTCCACCCTCCATCGCCCTAACCAGAGAGAAGGCCTACTGAAATCCTTGCGTTTTAGGAAAGGGTACCTATGACCCTTTGGAAGTCACCACCCCTTTAATCTGTGAAAATGTAGCAATCCTGTTTCGCTAAAGGCTTTTACTCCACAAATCATCCAGGAATCCGAATTAAAACTGTCAGCACATCACCAGGACTGTCACAGTTCGCTGACCCCAGTGGACTCAGACCTTGCTCCCACCGTCTTTGTGTACCCCCCAAATCAGCTCCTGAACGTCTGCTAACCTTGATTCTTCTGTAGCAACTCCATGGCTCTGTGGCTAGCCTTACTTCTCTAATGAGATGGAAAGCTCTTTGAGGGCAAGAGACTACTTCTAGCGCCCCTAGCTTCAAGAAACTTTAAGGATAAACAAAACCATGTGTAAAACCAAGGCAGTCACAGAGGTGTAAACAGGAAGCCAAGGAGCAGAGGATGCGCGTCAACTGGTGGGGAGGGGTAGCCGCTGGGTAAGGTAACAGATCCGAGCCTTAAAGGGCTAGTGGAATCAGCCGGGCAAAGGTAGGCGGAAGGCAAGCCAGGCAGGCGGGCCAGCGTCAGCAAAAGCAGGGAGAGAAACAGTTCAACGTTGCCGTAGCATCAAGTGCAAGGCGGGGAGTGGTGGGAATTGAGGCTGCAGCGGCGGGCCCGGCAAGGAGGCGGCAGGCAACAAGCCCGCGTAATTCGCGCTGACCTGTACGGGGAGGGCAGCTTACGCAATTCGCGAGTAAACGAATTTGGGCGCCCGCTGCGAGGCTCTGTCAATGACCGCCTGTGGTGGCCGCGCCGCCCCCCCCCCCCCCCCGTGCACCTGTGCGCCTTCGCAGCTGCCAAAGCAAACGCAGGGCTGCCTCAGTCCGCTCGATTTTCAACGCGGGCCCCACGCCCCCCACCCCACCCCGGCCACGGCCGCTGCTGCCTCGGGCCCCCAGCCCCCTGGCCCTCTCGTTCCTCCGCTCTGGTTTAAAACGCCTGTTGACGCATGTAGCGGGTGCCTGCGCGCTAGCGGGCGGCCCCGCGGTTTTCTCTGCAGTCGCCACCGGGGTTCCCGAAGAAGAATCCCTGCGGGCCTCCCGACCCCGGGCTGGGGCGGCCGGGGGCGGCCAAGGCTCCCTCGGCCCGGCTGGCACGGCGGCCGGGAAGGGGCCGGTGCCATCTGGGGCTTGCGCAAGGCGCAGTGCCGAAATCGTCCTCCCGGGAAAGCGCAGCATGGAAACAAACAGGACGGGCCGCCCTCCTCTCCCGGCCCGCGACCGACGGGCACCGGGGACGGCGCGGGCTCCCCCGCAGCCAGGCTCGGGCCGGGCCGGGGCCAGGACCCAGGTGGTCGCGGCGGCTGGTGGCGGGGGGGCGCCGCGGGGCGGAGCGGCTCGGGCCAGGGGCTCGCTCGGCCGGGGTCCGCGCGCCGGCGCCCCAGGCCGTCGTCATTACCTGGCCAGTGTCGTTTTCCCCGAGCCCGGGAGGCCTCGCAGGAGGTAGAGGTGTTTCCTAAAGCTGTGGCGGCGCGGAGGTGTCCCACGCGGGGGCGGCGGGGCCGGCGGCCGAGGTTTCTGCTGCGGCCGCTGCTGCTGGAGGCTCAGCCTCCCAAAGGATTCAAGAAAACTCTCCTCCATGGGGTGGGGGCTGGCTGCGAGAGCCCCGGGTTCCCTTTCCTGAAGTCACGGTCTTGGCCAAAGCTGTTGTTTTTGTGGCTCTCCGGCCATGTGATAGATGGAGGGGCGGGCGCTCGGAGCCCAGCCCCTCCTTCCCACCCGAGCGAACCGCGCCGCGTGGGAGGGGGCGTCCCTACCTGGAAAGCTGGGGACGCTGGGAGACTGGCAGCCTGAGGACCTGGGTGACGCTCAGCACCCTCCCGACCCCCGCCCCGCTCGCCGACCCCCTCCCTTGCCTCTTCGCTCTGAGGGGAGAGGGCCTGCCCGCTGGGACACGGATACTTCGCCGGGCCGCCCGCCATGGAGGTCAGGCCCTCTGCAACAGCCCTCCTCCACCCCACCCCCGACTGGCCTGGACCTTGAAAGTGAAATAATTTTAGTCGACGATTAAAGAACGTGGACAGCATTTTGAATAGTAACAGTAAAGCCCATTGTCTCCCCCAGTTCGTGAGCACCAGTATCTGGCTAGTGTCCCAGCGGCTAATACCGCTGTCCCAGGGCCTGTATCATTTTTTTTTTTAAATCCTTCTTTAGCCTGCCAAAAATATTCTTAGAAAGCTTTGTTGCCTCTACATAACTTTAAATCTCATCAGAAAAAGCACCCCTTAAAACTCAGAGTGATCTCTCAACGGCAGCATAAACTAGGTCTCATGAGAAGACCTGTACTGCCCAGGTACTTGCTTGGGCTGCCACCTGAGAAGACACGGCCTCTCTGGAAGGATTTCAGCTCCCCAGGGAAAGGAGCAGTCTCCTGAAATCATTTATAGAGAAGTATCCAGAATTAAGTTCTGTTTCAGGAACTGGTGAGTGCCAGTTGCTTGATCACCATAGCACTCTCCAATATTTCACACTCAAGGGTGTGATAGAGTGATCCTATTTTTTTAACCAAAATTCAAGATGCACCGACCGAAAGAGACAATATTGAAAATACCATGCTGGAAAAATCCAGGAGATATGGTGGCTTTGGCTGTAATAATTACTGTAAAGTAAATTCATTTTGTTTTGGCAACTAAGGTATGAAAATTTTGAAAAGGAATTGTGAAGAAAAGCAATTTCTTTCTATAACAAAATCCAGAGATTTCATAATAAACTTTGGAAAGAAGGGCCCAAGTAGGGAGGGGCTCTGTGCTGAGAATCGCACCTTCCCCTTGGGATTCCCCTGGAGAGGTGGGGGCGGGGAGATGAGCTGCTCTCCCTTGAAAATCCCTTCCCAGAATCAGAGGAAGGATCTTGGCACTGCTGAGAAAACTAGAATTTCAAAAGCTTCTCTAAATATTAGGGGAAAACCATAAGGAATGGAGAACACACATGACTCATAAAAATAGTGATGCTTAAATGTAGGTATCCTCTATTTCTATGTATTCTATCATACTTCTTCCAAGAGTGTTTTTGCCCAGCCTCAAATACTACCTTTTTCATTCTAGACTTGCACTGTACAATACAGGAGCCACGAGCCACACAGGGCTATTGAGAACTTGAAATGTGGCTAGTACAAAGTGAGATTAAAACACACACTGAATTTTGAAGGTTCAGTATGGAAAAAAAAATGTAAAATATCTCAGTAATTTCTATATTGATTATGTGTTGAAATGATAATATGTTGTTGGTATGCTGGGTTAATATAGAATTAAAATTTTTATCGCTTGTTTCTTTTTGCCTTCTTAAGACGGCTACTAGAAGAGTCTAAATTACATATGTGGCTAGTGTATTTCTATTAGTGCTGCATGAGACCTCCATCCACTTCCATCTCCTTCTACAGAGGGGGTCCCAGGCAATGTAGGATAGGGCAGAGAGAGACACACAGCTTTGGGGTCTTGAGGTTTTAGCGTACGGAGTGTCTGTGGCAGATGGAACAACCTAGTAGAGGCTGAGAAATATGAGTGTGTTGCTCAGAAGAGAGTTCTGAGCGGGAGACAGAGCTTTGGAAATCCTTGCCCTATGAGAAGAAGATAGAGAAATAGAGCAGACAGCTGAAGAGGGGTCCCTGGAGACACCAGCATTTAAGTACTGTGTCTTTGAAGTGCATCTGCCAAAGGAGAGTATGAGAGAATGATCAGCAAAGCAGACAGAACTCTAAAATAGAGAGAGATGTATGGAGGCCCAGGAGAAAAGAGCTTAAAGGAGGAGAAAATGGGCAGCAGTACCTGGAAGTGACCCTAGACACTTTTCCTTTCTTTCAACCCCCACATGTAACCAGTCAACAAGCTCTGGCTGTTTTTTCTGATTTATTCCTCTAAACTACACTGTTTAAAGTTATCTGTGTATCTGTTTCCCCCCACTAGGCTGTAAGTAGGAGCAGTGTCACCCTTGTCACCCTCAAGATCTAACAACACAGCCTCACATTCAGGAGGTACTCAATAATTGTATGTGGACCTGAACTACTTTCTCAATAGATAAGTGTGATTTACTAAATATTAAGAATAAACCGAGATCATGATAATGTCAGCTAAGGAGCAAACAGTAAACATATCGACGGATCTGAGATCCAGCTTGCTATGAGCTGCATTCAGATCTTTACTGGGTCTCTCTAGGTGGCAGCCGCCAGAGATCTGGGCTACACCCAAGTCAGAGGATCCCTGTGATAACACTCCTTAGTGCCTTCACTTCGTCCAACCAACTTGTCAGCTCTAGGGTTCCATTCCATTTCTCACTTACGTGATGACCAGCACAATCTTACTTTGCTGCACTAGAAACCATTACCATGACAGACGTAAAGAAAACTGTAAGTCATTTTCGGCAAATAAAGAAACATTCAAATGTTTCTCTAATTACTACTGTTTAAAAGACATGGAAAAATAAGGAGGTACATAAGAAGAACTAGTGAAAACCAGGAATTTAACCCTCAAACGTACAGCTCCAAATAACCCAGGATTTGGAATGTTTAATTATAAATCAGCCCCAAGTTTCTACCCCAGAGATGCCAAGATGGCAGAAAGTCTGAGACCAAGATGGAGCTTCCGAAGCAGTCTAACCAAAGACCCTTGAACACAGCAGAACCAGTTAAAATATGTAAGCAGAAGCTCTCCCAATGCTCTCTAATCCTATTTCTTTTCTTCCCCTATCAAAAATTTTTTGACATTTTTTCTCAAAAACATAAATTAGTTTTATTCACATACATATTCCTCTTGTTATATATAAGTGATATAAATGGAAAGGACCAGACGGAAGTCTAGCTGTTTGTGTAGTAGACTCCTGACTGCCCAGAAGCTCCACTTGCACCTGCTGCCACTTTCTGCACAATCTGACCAGATAGGACCTTGTCCTCCTCTCTACTAACACTGCCCCCTCCTGGTTCTTCCCTCATCCTTCCCCTAGAAGCCAGATGGAGGCTGCAGGAAGCCAGAAGTTAGGGAAAGGGGGACAAGGGAAGAGAAGTGATGCAGCATATGTATGTCTATTTGGCTGAACTGACAGGAGAAATGCACAGGAATCTGGTGGCCTGCGAGAGGTCTGCCATGTGGAATGTTCTCTGGGCAAACCTGATTTTGCCTCTGCCTCCCACAATCCATCCCTTATTCTTTTTAGTGCCACACCCCTTCCCCAAGGTGAGGACCGTATCTGCTTTTCCACAGCAACTATTTGCCACTATGCACCAGGGCACTTAAGGACTATAAGCTTTAAAGCCTAGGAGCAAGAGAAAGTAGACTCAGCCCATTTTTCTAAAGCTCCATTCTGGAAATTAGGGCAAGATAATAAAGACAGGGGCTGGAGAGAGCTGGGGACATTCTGGAACCCAGGCACGAGCCTGGATGAAGGGTCAGCTGTCAATACAGCATAAAGGTGTTTTCAGAACTGGTCACTACTCATGCCATAGTCATGGTTAAATATTTAAAATACTACCCTTGGGTAAGGCATGGCAGTGTGGATTCTAATGTATTCATTAGAAATCCATAAGTATCGCCGGTGAAGACCCCTAAGAAAGCAAGGATTTGCCAGATCCCAGAGTCCCCTCTGCAGCTGTCTATGCCTCACACTAATACTAGTCGTTCTTCCCTGAAATCATCCCTCCTCGGCCAAAAGCAAGTTCCGTTTCACAATGGCTCTAGGAGCCTACAGAGAGAGCAAGACTCCCAAGGAGTTCAAGCAAACACTGAAGACCCTGGTCTCCATCTGGAACAGACCCACCGTCTGGTAGAAAGATGAACTAAAGCTGTACGAAATGAACATAAGGGGGAAAATAGAGCTATTTTAAATAAAGCCCTCAGTTCCCAATAAAGATGGCAGATGGAACACAAATATTTAATTGCCACACCCTCTTTGAAACCCCACTAAAATGTTTTGGGAGGGCGGTTATTTTGTTATTATATTTAAGCATAAATTATAAGAAAAAAGAGAGATTACAGCAACAAAATTTTGAAAACTGGAGAGCAAAGGCCAAGTGTTAATTTGGCAAAAACAAACAAGCAAACAAAACAACCCTGAATTGTAGACAGCTGTGAGTCAACACAATTTACCCTGCATTACACCTAAAATTTCAGGAACTAGAATATTTGGGGCTGGTGGTGAGGCCCTAAAGAGGAAGGTCAGTTGGAATTCTGTTTAAGAAACAAAACAAACAAAAAGAAAGAAGCATCCAGAGTCAAGCAATTGCCCACCTCCTAGAGAAGCCCAAAGGTATATTCCCTGGAGATCAAACAGGATACGGTGGAGTGGAGGTAAGATAAGACAGTCCAGGCTCCCTTTCTGAAAACAGAGGGAGTAAGAAAATGCCTACATGTTGGACAGTGAGTAACCACCCCTGGTTTCAATTTTTCAAATATGAATTTTCATATTTGGAGTTTGTTAAATACAACTAAACTAAAACAGAATTTAAAAAGATAGTTACCTGTAGTATGGTGCAAGTCCCACAATCCCTAACCAATATCCTTGAGGTCAGATCTGTTTCAGAATTCAGAAAGTGTGTGTTTGTTTGTTTGTCTGTATACAAGATGTGTGTATGTGCATATATATATAACCTTACATTCTGAGTGGGGGCTGGGCAGCCCATGGTAATTAAATACATTAATATTTCTGCAATGAAATGTATGCATGGTCGCACTAGGTAGGATAAATAAGGAGTAAAATTAACCTGTTTGAGTCAAGTTATTTGCTCCCAACTTAATTTTAATGCCAAACATTTAAGAAACAAAACAAAACAAAAACAGCTTTTGATTTTCAGAGCTTTTTGGATTTTAGAATTTTA